ATATATATATATATATATATATATATATATTGTATTTTCAATCAGCGCAGTCTTGGTGAGCACAAGAAACATTAAGAAAAATCTTACTGACCCCAAAATTTGTAGTGTATACATTATAGATAGTAGTAATATTTATTTATTTATTTATTTATATGTCAGAATCTAAGGCTATCTTTGCGTCAAAAACTAGTACATTATAGAAATCTTTAAAACAAAAGACAATATTTGAAATAATAGAAATTAATTTAATACTTGGTAGGGTTATGATGGTTAAACATACATGGAGGGGTCATCGGCTCCATTCAGTGAATCAGAGGCAAGGTTACGAGCGATGGTGTGGAAGTGTGAAAAAAAAAAAGTACCCACGTTTGGCTCAACTACACTCAGATTAAGAGAACAGTCAAAACATTAAATTTCAATTACAAATCTTTTTGTCAGTTTTAATGTTATGTAGTAGCTGCTTACCTATTAAACTACTGTTCAAAATGTTGGCGTCAGAAAGTTTTTTTTTGTAATACTTTTATTTACTGTAGCAAGAATGCATCAAATTGATCAAATATTACAGTAATGACATTTACAACATTACAAAATTTGTATCTTAAATAAATGCCGTTCTTTTAGAACTTTCTACTTTAAAATTTTTTTTTATATTTGAATGATTTCAAAAGTATCGTGACGCTGCAGACTGTGGAGTAACGGCTACTGAAAATTCAGCTTTGAGATCACACAAATAAAGTACATGTATAATGTATTCAAGTAAAAAAAAAACATTTATTTTAAATTGTTATAATATTTTGTGCAGTCTTGGTGAGCACAAGAAACATTAAGAAAAATCTTACTGACCCCAAAATTTGTAGTGTATACATTATAGATAGTAGTAATATTTATTTATTTATTTATTTATATGTCAGAATCTAAGGCTATCTTTGCGTCAAAAACTAGTACATTATAGAAATCTTTAAAACAAAAGACAATATTTGAAATAATAGAAATTAATTTAATACTTGGTAGGGTTATGATGGTTAAACATACATGGAGGGGTCATCGGCTCCATTCAGTGAATCAGAGGCAAGGTTACGAGCGATGGTGTGGAAGTGTGTCCATGTGCACGTTCATCTTCATCTCATTCTCCAGAATTTGGACTAGTTGCTGCATGGAAGGCAGGTGGCCTGACTCCAGCTTGGACCAAACTGGAACATCTAACCAAAAAAATGCCCCGAAATAGCGTTACCATAGTGAGACACCATTTTGCTAACTTCCGCCAGACTAAACCACCAAATTAGGCTACCGCCACACTGCTTCTCTTTAAAAACGTCAACAAACTTGTATGCCTAGCATGTCTAATGGACAGAGAGCAACTCTAATTCTTCTGCTTGAATAATTTCTTACATAATACATTGTCTATGTGCTGCTATTCCATAAAAAAATTCCCTGGGTTAAAACAGATTATGTTGTTCTGAAAGGGGTCGTACCAAGTATTTTCTAAACTATAAAATCATTCAGCCATCCCATTTTACAAAAAGGAAAAAAAAAGGTGAAATATACTATATGTGACCCTGCACCACAAAACCAGTCTTAAGTGTCAATTTTTCAAAATTGAGATTTATGCATCATCTGAACGCTGAATAAATAAGCTTTCAATTGATGAATGGTTTGTTAGGATAGGACAATATTTGGCAGAGATACAACTATCTGAACATCTGGAATCTGAGGTTGCAAAAAAATCTAAATATTGAGAAAATCGCCTATAAACTTGTCCAAATGAAGTTCTTAATGCATATTACTAATCAAAAATTAAGTTTTGATATATTTACAGTAGGAAATTTACAAAATATCTTCATGGAACATGATCTTTACTTAATACCCTAATGATTTTTGGCATAAAAGACAAATCTATAATTTTGACCCATACAATGTATTTTTGGCTATTGCTACAAATATACCCCAGCGACTTAAGACTGGTTTTGTGCTACAGGGTCACATATAATATACATACCACAAATAAAACAAATGACTATTATTGTTGTTATAAACAAATATTACATATAAATTAACACATTTACATAATAATATAAATACTCACATTTTGAATCAAATACACTTACCATTGAGCGTGATTTCAAAAGCACCCGTAGACATACACTGATTTTCGATCATATTGCTGAAGAAGAACACCATCATACAGGCATATATCTAAAAAAAACAAACATCAAATAAGCATTTCTGCAGCTAGTTTGTTTGTATGTGGCTATTGTGTGGATAGTTGATACATGACTTGTGCTACTTTTTCAAACGGAAACACAAAAATTAAAGAAAGCTGAAGGTTAAAATTTTTCTTCTGTACTCTGATGCCTACTACATTTCAGAAATAGTGCAGAAACAGTCAAGTGAACATTAACATGAGAGCTTGCTCTTTGGCCCCTAGTGTATTACATTTTTCCTATAACCACAAACGTCACTGAGGTGACAAAGTTACAGACTAATGAGCTCCATGGGGAAAAAGTTTGTATTTGGAACATACTACTCAAACAGGTTTTAGTTAAGAACTACAACCTAAACCACCAAATGAAAATATCTCAACAGGAAAAGTCGGAGGTCTTCTTGCCTTATTCTCCTGACTCCAAACCCATAGACCTGGAGCCTGCATGCCAAATAGAGCAAATGGATCCTTGCCCACAATGATCACGCCGATTAACAACAGCTTAAACATAGACAGAAAGGAAGCAATGTGCCTGGAGGAAAAAAAAAAGACACTGTATAAATAAATAATTCATACACAAACACACACACATACACTAGTTGAATTACTAGTATTATTGTTGTAGTAGAATTACAGTTTTTTTTTTTTTTTTACAGAAACACTAAATGACCAACAACGTCTCAAGACAAATATGCCTTCATACATTTTCATTTATTTATGGTCGGCACATTTAAGCTCAAATTACTGAAGTTTTATCATTAAATTATTACTGGTGGTGATCCGTTATTAATAATGGTTCTTATTATCAATGTTAATAAAAACAGGTTTTGCTGCTTAATATTTTGTGGAAACATTTTTCAGGATATTTTGATGAATAGAGTACAAAAGAACAGCATTTATTTGAAATATAATCTTTTGTAACATTATACTGTTTTTACTCTTACTTTTGATGCATAATACATATTTTCTGAATAAAAGCATTAATTTCTATTAACAACACACGCATACCTTAAACATTTTAATGGTAGTATGTCATGGTTTCTTCATAAATATTACATAGTACAACTGTTTTTAACATTGATAATAATAATAAAGGTTTCTTGAGCACCAAATCAGCTTATTAAAATGATTTCTGAAGGATCATATGACACTGAAAACCGGAGTAATGATGCTAAAAAATTCAGCTTTGCTCTCAAATACATAAATTACATTTTAAAACATATTACAGTAGAAAACAGCCATTTTAAATTGTAATACCATTTCACAATATTAGTGTATTAATTTTATCTGTGAGCACATAAATGCAGATTTTGTGAGAAGGGAAAAAAAGCTGTCATTCCAGTAAACAATGTACAAGCCAATGATGATTCTTTTGCAAAGGCGTGTGATTGTGTGTGTATTTGTGTTATACACACACACGTGTTTATACACACACACACACTTTTTTTTTTTAATTGCTGGCCATGAGGATAGACATGTAAGTGGTTTGTAAGTGTTTACCTGTAGACTGGCAGAGGAAGGTAGTTCTCTCCTTCTATGCGGATGTCTGGGTACCGCTGGTACAAAGCCTGCATGTACTCCTCAAACACCCGCTTGTATCCTCAGGAAACACTGTAGAAAACAAACAAGATGATGAAGACACCTCAGAGCCTTTGGTTCACAACCACAGGTTGACGTGAAATACGACTATTGTGCAGTAACTATGTAAACAATGATTTCCATTTCAGATTATGATAAATGAGCCACCATTGGAGACTAGATGTTACAGCAGCCTCAAATTGGCTTTATAAATCCATAAAAGCTGCATTATTAAACGTGCAGCGTCTCAAATGACTAAGTGCAAGCACGCAGATATAACGTTATACACTAATGGGCTAATCCTCAAACGACAGCCCTCCATTTAACAGGGATTACCGACCGATTATAACATCCTGCTGAGGTTATCTGCGAGACTACTTGTGCCATATGAGACAAATTAACGCTTCTGTCACAGTACACTTTACAGTAATCGTGGTTAATAGCTCTGCAAGGTTAATCACGTCAAGCCGCGCTGTGCTACTGTCAACACACTCAATGTCATTCACTGGTTGGCCTGTTCCGGGGACCGACCGACCGACATAAAAATGCCCGAACTCTCACTCACCAAATCTGGAATTTGAGAAGTGGACCCGTGGCAAATTGCACCTTCATTTTCTTGACGCCACTGTTATCCGCAGAGGCACTGTAAAGAGAACAGGCCCATAATATTGCCACCGAGAGAGGTAACCAACGCATCTTCTCCGCGACGATTGATTACTGATCTGAAAGCAGGAAGTGGTGTACTGAATTTCATACGGGTAATCCAGGAAGCCGCGCTGGGATTGGTTGGCGACTGCTTGACGTGGGGTCACACATTTTGACGAAGAACGTCTTGGTTCAACGAACGAACCCGTTCACACACACACACACACACACACACACACACACCCGGTCACACACACACACACACACACACACACACACACACACACACACACACACACACACACACAAAGAAGCTTGTCTTTCTTTTTAAAATCTTTCTTGTCTAATCATCTTTTTAAATACACGTTAAATGGAATGAATCTAGAATGGAACACGTGGAATGAATCTGGACTCGTCCCTACAAATATCTATTAACAAACAAGATAAAACGAGCCAAAATAAAATGTAATGAATATGTTCGTGTTAAAGCTTGCTTGAACGATTTCTGTAGGCCTACCTATCTCAGAAAATAAAGCCAGAATCTAAATAAATACGTACGATTATTTTAATATTATTTTTCTTTATTACAAGTCAAATTCTCGTATTCAGTACATTGTTATTTTTTATTGTATTTTTTTATACACAAATAACATAGATTTTTTTATTATACTTATCTTTTTTTATACACAAATGCACATTTTTGGGTAAGAACTGTCCATTTTAGTAGACAATTCCTATGTTTTGTCTTTGATGAGCATAAAAAGACTAAAACAACAAATCTTTGAAAAGTCAAAAATTACTTTCAGTGATAAACCGTTTAGTGTATAAATGTATTGTTGTTATTATTATTACATGATATGTGTTCGTTTCTATTGTTCTGCACTTTATGCAATGTTATGCAAGTCGTTTGGCATGAATAGAAAAAAAAAACAAATAAATAAATCTAAAACAATTCAGCTGGTCCGTACGTAATCATCATACATTCATACGTCCCAGTTCAGCTAATAAATGGATAGTAATTCAAAACCAAGACTGTTACAGACCTGTTCAAACGATTGATTCTCACTCAAAAAGAACAAAACAATTTCTTCCATAAATCAGTAGTTGCTATTTCCATAAATAATGTTACACTACTGGCTGTTTTAAACCAAATATAATTGACATGTAACTTAATGCAATGAAAAAATAAGAACACCACAGACACTGTGCAACAATCCAAGATTTATATCCCAATTGAAGGTTTTATCAATAAGAACGTTTTAACAAGCTTTATGACACACTACGCAAGGCTGACACAAAATTAAAAAAAATGTAATTTAGCAAATATCGTGTTAACCACTTATCTATATATAATGTTCTCTATTATAGATCAGTGGTGTTAACGTTTTTTCAAAAAGCTGGGCGGTCCGAGCGTCAGTCCATTTGCGTTCTTCCGGTGTGGGCGGAGCTTACATTCTGAGTACGTAGTATTGATCAGTGGTACGTAGACAAAAATCGATGTAGTTTTGGCTTCGTCCTCACTAGCTTGTGTTCGTTATATTTGTGACCAGCTCAGTTTTACAACCCACCAGCATTTGCAACGATGGTCGCCAAACAGAGGATTCGTATGGCCAACGAGAAACACAGCAAAAACATCACCCAGAGAGGCAACGTCAAAGCATCGGTAAGACAGCTCTTCATGATGTTCGATAGTGTATCAACAAAAGTGAAATTAACTTCATGTAATGTATTAACTTAACTGATTTTAAAGTAAGACGCTTGCTTAAACTGTTAATATAAGGAATGACTAGTTTTGCAGTAAAATAGTGGTTCTTAATACTGCAATGTGTATATACACTTCTATTGCTAAATCCCACTGCACTACTACAATTAAATGACAACTAAAATGGCATTTGCAACTGATTTTAATGTAAATTCACGCAGAAAAACGTCAGTGATGATAAAGTTTCGGTGGGACCATGGCTCTTGGCGCTCTTCATCTTTGTTGTCTGCGGTTCAGGTGAGTAACCAATACACACAATTAACAAGTGATCTGTCATATCTCACATCAAATGATAAACACATTAAATTAGATGGTATTTTATTTTTATACTAGCATATGTTGTGCTTATTGTTTAGCCCAAGGTAGGCAGACAAAGCTGACCTCCACTCATTTTTTTGGCACACACTGTGAAACCTTGCACTGTAGTGAAGGCTGAGATAATAATGCACACTATTTACATGGACAAGGCTGGACTGATAGCATGACTTTATCTGCTTTTTTTCACTGGGTACAACATGTGGATCTGCAGGTGTTGCTGTTCTGGAAACAGCATTGAAGAACATTTCCAACAACAGCTTAAAGGGTTAGTTCACCCAAAAATGAAAATTAGCCCATAAATTACTCACCCTTAAGTCATCCTAGGTGTATATGACTTTCTTCTTTCAGACGAATCCAGTCGGAGTTATATTAAAAATTGTCTTTGATCTTTCAAGCTGTTTAATGCCACTCAGCGGGTGTTGCATGCATCAGTCCAAAAGAAGTTAAATAAAAAGCGCCCATCCATAAAAAAAAAAAAAAAAGTGTCTCACACTGCTCCAGGGGGTGAACAAAGGCCTCCTGTAGCGAATAGATGCGTTTTTGTAAGAAAAATATCCATATTCAAAACGTAATAATCACTTTAATGTAGATTGCTCCAACTGTTGTACACGGAAGCAGCTCCGGGCTGATGACATATGAGGTCAGCGCTGCGCATGCGCTGATGAGTCTCGTGAAAACCAACATTTCCTTACTTTAGCAAAGGAAAACCAGTCTCCTCTTGGCTTATATCGAAATCCTCCGACATTCTTCTTTACAAATCCTCGTTTTGTACTTCTAATTAGTGACCGTTGTTTTGTTTTGATCTCTCCGCTGCGCTTCCGCATTCGTCACTTCTGACCGGTGCATGCGCAATGCTGACCTCATATGTCATCCGCCCAGAGCTGTTTCCGTGTACAACTGTTGGCGCAAGCTACATTAAAGTGATTATTACGTTTTGAATATGGATATTTTTCTTACAAAAACACATCGATTCGCTACAGGAGGCCTTTGTTCACCCCCCGGAGCCGTGTGAGACACTTTTTTTTATTTTTTATGGATGGGTGCTTTTTATTTAACTTATTTTGGACTGATGCATGCAACACCCGCTGAGTGGCATTAAACAGCTTGAAATTTTTCAATTTTTAATAACTCCGACTGGATTCGTCTGAATGAAGAAAGTCATATACACCTAGGATGACTTGAGGGTGAGTAATTTATGGGCTAATTTTCATTTTTGGGTGAACTAACCCTTTAAGTACTCCCAGGAAGAGTAATGGATCTCACTGCCAGCTGGATTGGAGGCTTTGAGACATAGCTTAAAAGATGTAGCCTTTTTGACAACGTCATAAACAGCACCATCCAGATCTGATGTGGCACATTCTTTGGCCCGGGCTTCTGGGTTGCCGCCAGCTCTCGCAGAGTTTTTACCCGTTGTCCTCGAGAATCTGTTTGCTTTGAACAAATGACATTTTCGTTGCATGTTTTTGGTCATCTTGCTCTCTATTTGCTTGCCCTTACTTTTGCGCCTTGGATGATTTTGCAATCTTTTTATTTGATTCGATCCACAAAAGAATAAGATTTCCTTTGTTAGAGATAACAAAGATAGTTTACTTTTATGAGACAAAAGAGTGAAGAAACATAAATATCCACTAGCGCAATGGCCCATTATATACCCGAAGCTGGCATTTATGTTAAGATTGACTTCAACAAGTTTAGCTTTTCAGTACTCTTCCTCCTCAACTTTTCCAAAGGCTGGAATGTCAGCCATCTGTAATGTCACTCTGTTTTTTGTTTTTTTTTCTCCTCAGCAATATTCCAGATCATTCAGAGCATTCGAATGGGCATGTAAAGAGGACCAATGATGTCTCAAGGATCCACTTCTTGCCATTTCCACATTCTGCGACATTGCCAAGGAGCCTCTCTTCAAGGCTTTTTGCTGATTTTATCGATTTATCTTCTATGAGGTGCAACAATCCTATCGTTCCTCTCTGGTGCCTTGTTAATGAAGAAAAATCAAAAAGCCATAAAATTGCATTCTGATCAATTGTAATGTTATTTTCTGTCAATCTACCTTGATGTAATGTAAAAATCTTGATATGTCACAAGCAGTGATGTGATTTGTAATTCCTGATTTCTCGTTCATTCCTAAAATAACTGTGCAGAAATTATTTAATGTCTTTTTGTTTGCTTTTTGGACCCCCATTTTGTAGTTTGCACAGGATAAAGTATTACGAATGAAAAGCCAGTCAGCAAATCTAAATCACTAATGTAAAAAATGTCTTAAATCACACATTGCATTACTTTTCTTTTACTTGTTTTCTTTGTAATTTCATAGCTGCCTCCTCCTTTCTTGAATATAGAACTTAACCGGAATAATTTAGTTCTCTGGCACATATTCTTGTCATTGTGGTACTGTTTGTTTACCATAATAGAATGAGGCTTAGCAATTCAGCTTTTTCAGAACTGATGACGTTATATACTGTATGCTATGATGGCGAAAAGAGCTGGACTAAAATACATTTTTTATAAATGACATGCGTTGTGTGTGTGTGTGACCTTTTTTTGGAGAATTATCAGCTAGTTGACGATCTTAACAACAATCTAAAATGTTTGTCATTTAATCAACAGTTATCTGAGGTGTGTCCGTTACCTATTACAACTACATGCAGGGGTATATATTTCTTATACCAATAAAGAGACTGGTAGAGTAACATAATTGAAATATTTATCCAAAATAATACACCAACAGTAAGGGACATAAGAGTCTAGTAGGTTAAATGAAACAAACCATCTTTGAGCTGTTTATACTGGCTTAAAAGCACTAAAAACGACGAACCATGTTCTCACCAGAAATTTGCTGACTAAAGTATGCGCGATTGAGGAAAAATGGAGTCCCATCCATGACTGTGATTGATTACATTCTGTCATGATTTCTTCACTGTTTAAACGATTAATTACTTTCTTTGGCTTGATTAGGTGGATAGCCTAAGCAATGCCAAAGACAGCAGCATCACTCAAAGATATTCAGTGGTTTACATTTGACTTGCCAATTGTAAGAGTCACACAATGGGAGTCAATACAGAGTTGATTGCATTTCAAGGTGTGAATTTCATTCATTTTGGTATGAACTAAGCATTTCATTTGTTAAAATAAAAGTGTCATTAAAAATACGGTTCCTTTTGAAAAGGACTGTTATGATTTGATCTGGTTTTTTTTGTTGTTGTTGTTGTGGCATGATTAAAACAATGCGTTGTGTGTTTTAAATGTAACGTAAAATGTAACAATTCTGCTCAATGCTAAGAACACTGTAGCAAGTAACATTTAACTGTCAAGTTGTAAATGTTTAGAAAAGACCAGTGTATTTGATTAAATTTTTTCACATTTTTAAACATGCCAGTGAATAAATGTGGCATATCTTAAATTTTATCTTTGGTTGCTAATTCCTGTTAAAATAATAATAATAACAATCCTTCAGATTTGACAACAATCTCTCTCTGAATGCACTGTAGCAAGTAACATTTAACTGTCAAGTTGTAAATGTTTAGAAAAGACCAGTGTATTTGATTAAATTTTTTCACATTTTTAAACATGCCAGTGAATAAATGTGGCATATCTTAAATTTTATCTTTGGTTGCTAATTCCTGTTAAAATAATAATAATAATAATCCTTCAGATTTGACTTAATACAAGTATTGTTGAAAATAAGAGGGCGTTGAGTATTTGATATTAAAAGTTCTGTACTTAAAGTGAGACTGTTCAGGATTGATCAAATAAAATAAAATGTTAAATATGCGTAAGACATACGTATATTTGCAGTTCAGTGCTGAATAATTCTAAACAGAAAATTTTTATACACTGTACTTGCATTCACATATAGTCTCCGGAAGGTGGCGGTATGGAGCCATCAGTTCTCTTACTTTCATTGGCTGCGAAGAAGAGCGGAACCGCTGTTGTCAGAGATGTTGCTGTGGATACGTGAAGTTTACAACTCTCAAAGTCAGGCAAGAAAATTATTTAATTGTTTTTCTTATTAGCAGTTGTCTACTCAAGTCATTAGCGGCTTAATTCTGTGAGGGGAAAACCTTTGGTCAAAATTATGCGAACTAACGCTTATTACAGTAGTCTGTGAATGTTTCGGCGTGGATTAACGTTAGCAGGTTTGTTCAAGGTTTGCATAATTAAGACTGACGAAAAACGCAAAGGCAAAACTATTTTTTGTAATTTTGACGCAGATGTGTCACGTTAGCATACACTTTACATGAAGAACCAGCTTTTCCAGTTAGTAAAGGGTAAGATGCCGCCCGGGGCAAACACCAGGTGTTTTTTCCTTTTTAGTTAATGAGGGATTTGTGGATCAAGTTTTGTGGCCAGTATTATTATTATTTAATATGTTTGTGGAGTTCGTGGGTTATTATTTATTAAGTACACGAGTCAAATATATATTTCAGATGTGCATATCTTTGATATGCATTAAAACCTATAGGCTTATTGAGTGCTTTGTTTGTGGATTTCTGGGGTTATTATTAATTAATTACATGAGTCAAATATATATTTCATATCTTTGATATGCATTAAAACCTATAGGCTTATTGAGTGCATTCAGTTCGAAAGCATAGTGTCTCAAATAGACTATGACATATCTTCAATTAAAATATGGGCAATTAAACATGTATATATTTATAATCCTTTACGTAAGTCATAGAATAAATGTACTTTCTTAAGATTAATCTCTTTTACTGGGATTCTGCTTTGTCATTGGTTATTCGATTACACAGCTAAATTGACAAAACACAATAGCACAGTTGATTTAGTATGTTATATAAAATATATCATATTTAATACAAATATTCTAAAATGAACAGGATCATTAATGAATATACATTTGAATGACATTCAAATATTATTATGTATTAACATTAATACCTACATATTAATAAACATAGTTTATACATTCTGTAAAGAAGTGGGTGGGGTTGACTTTTAGTTTAACCATTCCCTGCTGGTGGAATGACCTGTCCAGTGTCCATCTTCAAGAAACGGCTATAGACACATTCTCTTCCATCTACACTTGACCCTCTAACACTCTATATTCTATTTCTATTCTATCTACTTGTTTTCTTTGTATTTATTAAAAATCTAACCTTCTAACACTAGCATTCCCTATTCTTTTTTTTATTCTATCTACTTGTTTTCTTTTTATGTATTAGAAAAAAACTTTTCTTTGATTCTATTGTCCTCATTTATAAGTTGCTTTGAATAAAAGCGTCTGCTAAATGATTAAATGAATAATGTTACATTTTGTGCTATGACAACTAAAATAACAAATATTTCTATCAGTTTCTTTTAATACCACATTGGCTGATGCATCATCATGCTGCACATGCTAAACTTGTATCTAAACATGTTAGAATTTAAAAATAAAGCACATTAGGAGGGCATCTTACTTACCCCATCTTACCGTTCGCAGGTGTCATGTCAGTGTAGTGTCTTTTGCAGTATGTTCAATGTTGAAGTTCTAATGTGTTTATTTATTTTGTCTTTGTGCACCTAAAGGCTTTTTTAAGATGTCTCCATCACTGATTGGTGTTTAGAGCCACTTTCCATCCCAGTCTACATTCACTATGCTGCAAGCAGAGACCCTCCAACTGCTGTGCCTCACAGCCACCAGTGGGGTCCCTCTGTTTTCACGAGGCTCTGTAAAGCAGCTTCCCTTTTCCATCATCGGCTCCCTAAATGGTGTCCATATGTTTGGCGCCGGCCACGGGGCTCAGTTAGCGAGCTGTGAGACGGATCGAGGGAGCCGTGTGGTTTGGGGGGTCTTTCAGGAGAGCCTGATGCTGATTGCGGTGAGTGGCGGCGGGGGCTCCGCCATCAGTGAGCTGCAGCTGCGCCGCCTGCTGGAGAACGTGTGGAACTGCATGGTCCTGGTCCTGGGACAGGATGAGCTGGCAAACATACGCAACGTGGAGCGGCTAAAACGGGAGTTGCGCTCTTGCTACCGCCTGATCGACATGCTCCTGGAGCGCGTCAGTGACGATCAGGGATTTATGGGAGATCTGACGCAGTGTGCCGACTGTTTGCTTCTCTCCCACTCAGACTTGCTTCAGGAAGCCCTAGACTCCTTCGCCCAAGCAGCGGAGAGTGAATTTGGCTGCCTGCTGGTGCACGGCCGTGTGGCACAGGCCACGGAGAAGTGGTGGTCTCGACTGACGTCCCAGGAAGTTGATGTGCTCTCAGTCTTGGTGCACTCGCTCTCCGGTCCATCTTCATGTGACTACCCCGTCTTCCTTCCCCAAGGAAGTCCTACCGTCGCCATTCGCTTGCTCAGTTTCCAACTACTTCCTGGGGTTCACGTGTGTGTCCTCTGTGGCCCCAAACCATCTTTATACAAGGCAGAGAATGAGCTCATCGGTCGTTTTTGGTCCACGTTTGTGGAGAACCTGCGCAGCTGTTTGGAGCAGGCCAAACATTCTACTCTTCCCCCGTCTGTTAGCCTTCGCTGGGACATCCAGGCGCTTCTCCTCATCAACCGTGAATCTCGACGTGCCGTCACCGTCTGCCCTCGTGTTCGCAGTGGCGCTCCTTCGGAGGCTACACCTCTCCTCTCGTCAGGCAGGCGCTTGGAGCTCCTCCGCCTTTTTTATACGTTTGCCGTGACTCGATATTTTACCTCTCAGGAGACATCAGTTTCGTCAGCCTCAACTACCTCAGAGGATTTCTTTCAGGGTTTTACCCACGTCCCTGTGCAGTGTTACCTTGTCACAGATGAGTGTAAGTGTTATGGCCTGCAGAATTCCCAACACCAGCTCTTCCTCCTCATTGATCTGTCTGTGCCCACGTTTGCCTTGCGTACTGTGGCTACACAGACTCTCTCAGCGATAACTGCTGCAACTGGTTTTTAGGGCATTGGTTTGGACATGTATGGGTTACTTAAGCAGGTAGCAGACTTACTGGATTTGCAAAAATGAACAGCTCAAGCATTAATAGTAGAGGATAGTTCACATCAAATTAAAACTCTGTCATAATTTTCTTACCCTCATGTCCTTGAATGAGCTGTTTGAGTTTGTGTTTTCTGCGAAAAACAAATCTTCCAAAAATGGTCCATACAATGACAGTAACTTTTCGAAACAACAGTGAATCACATTGAGAAAAAATGGCAAGACATGTTTCCAAATATCTTCTTTTGTGTTGGCATGCAGATTTGGAACGACATGAGGGTGAGTAAATGACGACAGAACTTTCATTTCGGGTGAACTATCCCTTTAACTGGTCCCTGGCAATTTCTGGCTGTGACCATCAGGCTCGTGCCTTGTTGTATATTAATCAAAAGAAGACTTTTTGTTAACACTTTACAATAAAGTTCAATTTGAACTAGCAATGAACTATGTACACCATTTATTAATATTAGTTACTGTAATGTTATTTCTGCATCTACTAATACAGTTTTATTTTTAAAGAAGTTTATAGTATAAATTAAACATTGAACCACAGCAGATTTATAAATTAACATAAACCTATAATAACACATGCTGT